ATAACCCACAGTTTCAGTTTTTCTATCTATCTGACAACCTGGCATGAAATAGAAAAAGACCAACTGGCCTTAAGAGAAGGTAATACTGTTGTCCCTTTCATCTCAGATTCAAGGGAAGAGAAACAAAATCATATTCCCCTGAGCCAACTCCTTACCTATGCAAAGTACAAAAAATCTAAAGGTCTGGTGGCACAATGGGTTTGTTTAGGTACTATGGTAAGAGCTGAGTCAGTCAAGTCCAGGCCAGCCAGGCAGGCTCCTTCTTTCCTCCCACAGAGGGAGCACGGACAGCAAAGACAGATTTGGAGCGGAGAAAGTAGACCAGGAAGAGGACATCACAGATCAGACAAGCAATTCCGTATCAGATCCAGTCTAGGAGTTCTGAATGGACACCTTGACTTCACCAATGCAGAGGAGAGGAAACTTATGGTTCTAAAGGACCAGTGCTGCTACACAGCCCGTAGCCTTTAGAAGAAGCCCCACTTTTTCTTTTTCTTTTTAAATATATTTTATTGATTTTGTACAGAGAGGAAGGGAGAGAGACAGAGAGTTAGAAACATCGATGAGAGAGAGTCATCGATCAGCTGCCTCTTGCACACCCCCTACCGGGGATATGCCCACAACCAAGGTACATGCCCTTGACCAGAATCGAACCCGGGACCCTTCAGTCCCCAAGCCCACGCTCTATCCATTGAGCCAAACTGGTCTCGGCAGAAGCCCCACTTTTTCTTCAAATGCCTGAGCTGGCAAGTTACACTACCAAACCACAGGCTCAAAATTATAAGTCACTGATGTACAAAAACTGTGTCCAAGATACAATTGATGGTTTAAGGGTGTCAGTGTAAAATTTGCAAAAGGAGAAGTTTGAGGAAATTGAAGGCTCATGTAATAAAACACAAGTGCTCATCTGATTTCATTCATGCAAGTTAAATGTAACAATGAATGCATTGGTTTTTCAAAACCAAATCAGTCTCAATACTTACATTTTTAACTTAACATAATGACAGTGTTTTGACAACCAAGAAAAATACGGTTCAAAAATTCGATGCTTAAAGATCAAGAGACTCTCCAGGACCTTAAAAGTTGCCCTCACATCCCTGAGTAATTTCAACTCATTAGTGAGAGAAGAGTTTTAAAAAGAATCCATATAGTTGCTATTTTGAACAAAGAAGACAGGACACAAGCTCTCTAAAACATGTCAAAAAGATATTCAAGAAAAAATGAGAATGGCTCAAGTACCTAAAGTAGATATAAGACCACTATGAATATGAGGATATATTCAAGCAATTAAACTGGAAATAGCTAGTAGATTAAATAGCTTCATATAATATTACAATGCAAAGTAGAAGGAAGAGTTTCCTTCTGCTACAATATTTTCCACGGTAAACAGAATTCGTTATTAGAATGCATTATATATTTAGATGAGAACCACTGCATAATTACTTAATCCATTCAATTTGTACCAAAGAAACAAAGAAAACATATGCTTTTTGGTCAGATTGTTTACTGCAATCCAATACTAGATTAAATTAATAAATACTGCTGAAAAAGAAAATTACAGGATCCAACGAAAAAAAACTCCATTATTTTAGGATACAATCAAAGACAGCTTTATATTGACAATTTGTGTCTATGCAAAAATGTGTGACTCATTTTAAACTTTTAAACGACTGTGCTTATCGGGGGGGGGGGGGGGGGCACTTGAAAACAGTAATTTATGTTTGTGGTAATTAAAGGTGATTTACAAAACATATAAACACCCAACTTAACCTAAGAGGGGGTGGCAATTAAATGAAGGCATTTTTACCTTCTCATTTAGCAGTTCAATAAAGTTGTAGTGCCTGGAGGGCTCCAATTCCATATAAACTAGAAAGGCAACTTAAAACCTATTTCTTCCATCAGTGCTACCTTCATCTCTTTTTAGCAAATATAGGCAACTAAAAACTAAAGGAGCTCACTGGAATCTTACATTAAAGCTCTAAGGCTAAGCAATTTAGATATTTAAATTCAAAGAGATACAGAGAGTCAGTAATATAAAACAGAATGAAAATGCATCTGTCATTAATAACAAAGTAGAAGGAAGAAGGACTTTTATTTTTCCTGGACAAAAATTCTAACCATCTGCACAGAAATCATCTATATAGATTGTCTTAGCTCTCTATGGGTAAAAACTTGTCTGCCCAGTTTAAGAAGGGTGAAGGCTGAAATATAAATAAAATCAGTGAATAACTTAAAATCATATTGGGAGGCTCAGGAGAAGACAAGTATTTTCTAAAAATTATAAAACTGGATAGACTTTCCAAAACAAAAAGAAATGACATCAAAATCAAACAGTACCATTAGCAGTTATCCCAAAAACTGAAATGCTCTATTCGATAAAGTAGACTCCTTTTTCTAAGGAAAATAAACACTGAAGAGTAAATTCAAATAGCAACTAACCTCTTACATATAATCAGAAGAAAAAAAGCATATATCCTTTCTGATTTTTTAAAAAAGAAACGCAATTACTTCTGGAGTTGGAACAAGGGGACAAACATGAAATTTTACTTGAACATCTGAATTATTTCCAATTTGTTCATAATAATCTTATATCATTAAGAAATTTTTATATATAATGAATATTTTTTAAGTAACAATATCTGGCCATTTATAATTAAAAGATAGAGTGAAATCTGATAAAAAACAAACTATGTAGTCATAAAATATGAAGGAAAAGGGTGCAAACACATTAAATTATAATTTTATATGCACTATGGAATGATACTCATTTTTTCTAAAGAACAAGTTTTTGTACCCTACCTGCATATAATTCAACCTATTATAAGGGAACAGTTGTCTTTTTAAAATATATTTTATTGATTTTTTACAGAGAGGAAGGGAGAGAAATAGAGAACTAGAAACATCGATGAGAGAGAAACATTGACCGGGCCTCTAGTATGCATAACTTCTTTGGTTAATTTCTCTTCACCCATGCCTTCCCTGTGAGATTCGCCAGTCTGTTCCATGCTTCTCTGTCTCTGATCTATTTTGTTCCTTTCTTAGCAATATTTTTCCAGACTGCTGTACCGATTTTTCAGTAATTTCCGAATCTGCCACTATACCGCTGTACCTAATTTTCGGTACTTTGCTTAGACCTATTTTCTACAATGTCTCCAAGTTCTTCCATCTTATTCTAACCACTTGTTTGCATGTAACTAACATTTTCCTATATCACGTTGATTTTTTCTCTTTAATGCTCAGGAGCCCAGGTATAGGGGACAGTTAGGTTTAGGGCCTCAGGTCTGGTAGGGTTAACAATACCTTTAGCCTAACTGAAATACAATAAAGTATGTATAATCCTAAACAAATTCACTTTCCCCTGAGAGTTAGGAAAACAAGTCAGATAAATATTATACAAAAGACAATAAAACAAAAGATTTGGTTACATTTATTAATGGTTTCAGGCCATTATCAGGATCTTACCATCATCCTAAATTGCTCCAGCTCTTAAAAATTTAGGTCAAATATCCATCTCTAACACATACCCCCTTTATACTCATATCTGTTCTTGAAGCACATCAGGAAATCAGATCAATGAGCCTTCCACCTTTCAGTCCTCTCCTATTTTCACTCCTACCCTGTGTTAAGTTCTACTCTACCTGTCAGTTTAATCACGCTCAGATCCAAACCTTCAGTTTCCTTGCCCCCATATTCCTGTCATACCTGCCCTATCAATCACACTTCCTTATAGACATCTCCAATATGGATGTCTTAGGTATACAAATTCAAAAAAACTGTCCAAACTGAACTCATTAATTCTCTCCCAACTCTCTCTTCTTCTATATTTAATATCTCAGTAAATAACATAAAAAGTAATTCCAATGGCCCAGCCCAGAAACCCAGGAGTCACACTTGATTCCACCCTCTCTTTGAAACTCTCATATGGGTCGCCAGAACCAATGAAAAAAACAATCTGTCAGAAAATAAGAGGCTCTCACCAATGTACATTATATAACAAAATTTCCACCGTCTCTACCCCACCCATAACCTTATTCTTTGCCTGTACCACAACCCTTCCAGAAGATGTCTCCATTCCTTCATCCAAGGTGAACCTACCCAGATCAGTGCTTCTCAAACTACTAGTGGCGGGCTTTTATAAAATACAATAAAAATGAGTTACTATTCAAGTGAATTTTTTTCTAAAAACTAGCACAATTTTATTAAATCCAAATGACAAAAAAAAAATTAGTCAAATGACATATCTATTTCTAGATGTTCATTTTCAACTGCTATAGGTATATAGTCAAGAAGCAGTAACAAAACAAAAAACAACAACAAAAAAAACACTAAACCAGACCACAGCTGGCCCTTACTTCTAATTTGTTTCCTTTGTTTGCATTAATTTTCTCATTATAATACTATTATCTAACGTGCAGCCTTAACTTGAGTCTTAACCTAAATCTTTCTATTCTATCAGAGATTTACTTAATATATGCATTTAGCTCATTTTAATGATCAAAAGAACACAAGCCAAACATAATTCTACCTTGTTTTGTCCCGGCTTTCTATCTTTCCTTAATTTTCTCATGTCTAATTAATAACCTGGCACCCTTCTTTCCTCTGAAATAATGGAATCCCCTCCTCTATCAATTCCACCTTCTTAGCACATGGAAAAGCAAGAATGAATAAAAGTTTGACAAGTTAAGAAAATTTCAAAATGCCTCTATAATTAACAAAATTACTTCCACATAAAAACTTCTCAATGAATCTAATCCAAAACAGGGGTCAATATTAAATTAGAATATAATATCAACATATCATATACTTGCTATGGAATAAGCACTCTCATATGGAGATTATACTAAATAACATTAGAGTCACAATTAACAGATGAATCACATTTCATCTTGTGAAGTAAAGCAAATCTTCTATTAAACAGTCATTTCTAATTTTATTTGAGCAATGGAAAGAAAACACTGATCATAATGAAATCAATCAAATATATAAGCAACTGTACTTACGTGTTAGATGAAAGATTCCATCACAGGCACTAATATGAGATAAAAAGGCATTTCCCAGGCCTTGTCCATTGTGAGCTCCTTTTACAAGACCAGCAATATCCACTACATTTAGAAAGGCAGGAATTTTACTGAGGAAAAAAAACGAAAGATGGTTTTATTGTAAAATAGTACTAAGAACCTACTTATTATTGCCCTGGCAGGTATGGCTTAGTTGGTTAGGCATCCTCCCACCCACCAAACAGTTGCTGGTTCAAACCCCGGTCAGGTATCATATATGCCTGGGTTGCAAGCTCCAGCTCCAGTAGGAAATGTACAGGCGGCAGCCAATTGATGTTCTGCTCTCACATCAATGTTTCTCTTTCTCTCTCCCTCTCCTTCCTCTCTTTCTCTAAAAAAGAAAAAAAATCAACAAAATTACATTTTTTAAAAAGAAACCTATTAGTTAACCAATAGATTTCCCAAACATTTCCCATGAATTAAGTATTCTTTTCTTTTTTAATTTCTTGTTTACTGATTTGAGAGGGTAAGGAAGAGAAAGAGAGATAGCATATCAATCTGCTGTTCCACTACCTATACATTCATTGGTTGCTTCTTGTATATGCCCTGACTAGGGAGTGAACCCAAAAGCTTGGTGTATTGGGATGACATTCTACCCTATTAAGCTACCTGGCCAGGGCCTAATTATTTCCTTTCTAAAATAATGCTTAGAAGACTCTTAGTAATTATTTAGTAAATAAATAACAAAAACAAAACAAAAAATAAATAATATTTTATTACATTAGGACTTCCTTACCTAGGAAAGTGTTATAAAGCAGAGTAGCTGTTTTTATTGTGTCTCTAAAGATTAACACATATTATCCTATTCTAATTGGCATATACACCAGCATATGCACACACGAGTGCGCACACACAGACACACACGCAGTCGAGAACATTTAAAGAATACACTGATTCAATGCAAGGTAATCATCATAGAATAAGCCAATGTACCTTGTGTCAGGCATTGGACTAAATACTTTACATGCTTATCATTTCAATGTTCAAAACAATTTTATCAGGTAGATATTATTTATTAATCTTACTTTACAAATGAGGAGATTAAGCCTTAGAGGAGTTAAGAAACCAGTTGTGGGGATTCAAACACAGGATTTAATCACCATATAGATTATATAGCCCAAAACTGCATGTAATGATGTGATCCAGTTACCATCATAGTAATAATCCAGTTGTTAACAATAGCAATCGAATTAAACATATATATAAAATAACCTTTGCTTTGCTCAAAGTAAAGGCACAGTTAACACAAATCAGAAACCAAGTTAGAAAAACCAATCAGCCATGTAGAAATGGAAATTAAGGTATATGAGTAAATAGTTTTTAACATCATCTGAAAAAGGTGTATGCTAGAGGTGTATGTATGTATGTATGCATGTATGTCATCTCTGTCAATTTTTAAAGAAGTATTCATTTCTTAGAATGTGAGTTTCACCATATGATAAAATACAAAATGAAAAGTTCCACAAAATATTTCCCTATTATCTGTATGGAAAATGAATCCTTTAAAAGTAATTCTATAAAAATTGTTCTATAAAAATTTTTTATACATATAGTAATTAGTTGGCAATTGTTATTAACAAATCCACAGGAAATACGCACAAAATGTGGTTAGTTTTTGTTGTTGGATATTGTGGTTGCCTCCCCAAAATCCTTTGCCCCTTCTCTTGGTAACTATATTGATATTCATTTCGCTAGCCATACTTCCCCAAGATAACCCAGAGCTTTGAAGAAGATGGCTCTACCCCTACCTCTAAAAGGGTGGCATATACTTTAGGCCTATACCAGGCAGTTTACTCTCCTCCCCTAGGCATGATTAATGATTCTAAGACCTTCACCTTGTCCCATTTGCCTAGAAAGACTTAAGGAGATTTGTGAAAAGGGCTTAGCAGTGTTATGGCTCATGAGTCTTCTGAGAGAGCTTCTAGAAGCAAACCCCTCCTCCTTCCCTCTGAATGAACATGATGAGAAAGTATCCTATTCCAAGATTTGAGAAACAGCCTGTGACCACAAGGAGAAAGCAATCTTATGATCAACCTGATAAAGAGAGTAAAATGGAAAAAGAAAAGGACACCAATTCAACACAATTGAGTTGCTGAAACCAACACTAAACATCCTGCTACCTATTATAAGACAACTAGGGGCCTAGTGCACAAATTCGTGTACCTTGAAAGAAACTGTGGGCCACAGTGGGCACAGGGCCAGGACTCAGCCCATCCTCCACGTCCCTGCCCAGCCCCTCCTGCTGTGGCCCCCAGTCCAGTATGCCAGCAGCCCTGTTCCTGCCGCTCCCACACCCATGCTGACAGCGCTAGCCCCACTTGCACCCTCTGATTGCGCAAAGCAATTGGGGCTGGCGCCAGCAGCAGGTACAAGTGGGGCCGTCAGCAGGTGTGAGCATCAGCTGCTGCCAGATCACCCCTTAAGAGAAGGGGAGGCCGAAACCGGTTTGGCTCAGTGGATAGGGTGTCGGCTGACCTGCGGATTTAAGGGTCCTGGGCTCGATTCCAGTCAAGGGCACGTACCTTGGTTGCTGCAGGCACATTCCCAATGGGGGGTGTGCAGGAGACAGCTGATCCATGTTTCTCTCTCATCAATGTTTCTAACTCTCTAGCCCTCTCCCTTCCTCTCTGTAAAAAATCAGTAAAATATATTAAAACAAAGAAAGAGCAGGAGGAGGTGGAGAAGCCCTCAGGGGTAATCAAGGCCAGAAGCCACTGCGCACACCTGCTGACAGAGCCGAGCAATCAAGACTGATACCAGGCAATAGGTGCAAGCGGCAATGCTGGCTGTGGGTATGAGCGGGGCCGGCCTTGGTATCAGGTATGAGCACCAGGCAGGACTGCAGCACGCAAGAGCAAAGAATTTTCAGTAACTACCAGAGGCTCACCAGATGACAGCAACCAATGCCCCACCTTGGTCTGGTGCCCCCACTCCAACCATCTGCCAGAGTGAAGACAGAAGGCGGCGGCCAGAGCGAAGGCCTGGGTCCCAGGTGCTGGAGGACAACTGGTGCCAGCAGTCAGGGGAAGGAAGGCCTATTCTTGCATGAATCTTTGTGCAACAGGCCTCTAGTTTATTATATCAAGGTAAAGTATAGGTGACCTTTATTCCTCTCTTTAAACATTTCCATATTGTTTGAACCTCCTACAAAAAACCTGTATTATCTTATTTTTTATAATTAAAGAAATAATTTGTACTTGTAATAAAAATTTCAAATACAGAGAAATTTAAGAAATGAAGTAAAAATCACCTTAAAATTCTATTACCCAGATATAAACATCATTCATTTCATACATTTTCCTATGAATATACACATATATGTATAATTTTACATAAATGAAATTATATAAGATTAGTTACTCCCTCTACTTCATATTTCCCAGAAAAAAATAATTGCAATTGCTAACAACCAGATATATCCTTCTTCACCCTTGTCCATGCTCTGCTTTATTTTGCAACCAAAAACAATACTGCTATATTAATTTTGGGAAATAAAACTTTCTACATGATTTTAAATATATGACTAACAGATATTTAGTCAGTTTATACAGGGTGACCAAATAAAAAATGGCATAAAGACTTTCTTACCTTACTGGTTTGTGGTACTGGCAAAGAAAATCAAACCTTTCATCTGGCACAGGTACTCTGCTCTCATTGGGATCAATAGTGCAGAATGGGAAGTTCTCTGCTGAAGCCTGACTATTGGTTAATACATTGAAGAATGTAGATTTCCTAAAATGAATAAAAACAATTGAATCAATTCTTAGACTAACACTGAGAAAAAAATTCTCTAATTTCAATGCTCAAATAAGATTTATGAGGATTTATAAAACCAATCTAGGATGCAGGTGAGGAGGAAGAATACAATTTTACTAACAGAATTAATGGAATTTACAACAATAATGTATAATAGGTTATGTTCCTATCTCAGTGTGTTTGGAACTTGAAAAGCATTTTCCCAAAGAATCTTTGTTATAAATGATAGCTAGTCCCATGTCACACCACAAATCTATTTAATTCCTAAAATACCTGGTAGTACCAATTTATCACTTCACCTATATCTAATATAATCTTCTCTAGCATAAGTGTAGATAGATGTGTATCTAGTTAGGTCAATCACTTCCCAAGCATTCTGAATTGGTTAACTAGATGCTAATTGTCTAATAGGAAACGGGAGTTTAAAACTCAGACTTCCTTCTAATTATTAGTACATAAAGATTAATGCTAAGTCTAGAATTGTGAATTATGAAAGTTAAAATGTAAATTTTTTTCAAGGTATAGCAAATTTTAACATCTATTACTAATTAATAAGTTGGTTGATAATTTTCTAATTATCTAATTTTTATCAGGTAATACATACTCAGAGAATACCAACTCATATTAATACAAGCCACATTTTATTTTATACATATATATACATTATATATATTATATATAATGTATATATATGTTTTTAATTGATTTCAGAGAGGAAGAGAGAGGGAATGAAGTAAAAATCACCTGTATATATATATCTATATATATACAGAATCAGCTGAGAAACAATGATGACAGAGGATCATTGACTGGCTTCTTCCTGCACACCCCACACCGGGGATTGAGCCCACAACTCAGGCATATGCCTGAAGCTGAAATCGAACCACAACTTCCCGGTTCATAGGTCCACACTCAGCCATTGAGCCACACTGCCTGGGCTACAGCAACCATATTTTAAAAAATATGAGCCCTGGCCAGTGTGCCTCAGTTGATTGAGTACCATCCCATGCACCAAGAAGTTCCTGGTTGCATTCCAAGTCAGGGCACATGCCCAGGATACAATTCGATCCCCAATAGGGGGCTTGCAGGAGATAGCCAAAGATATTTTCTTTCTCATCAATATTTCTCCCTCTCTCCCTCCCTCTCCACATCTCCCTTTTTCTCTATATAAAAAAATCAATAAAAACAAATATTTAAAAAATAAGTAATATGATTGCAGTGCCAAAAAACAGATTAAAATTTTAAAAAACGGAATTTTAAAGGTTTGTTAATCTGTTTTGCACTACTTTTCAATTTCATCAGTAATACAGACACATTATAGTGACTTTTTTTTCCTTGCTCCAAAAACAGAACACACATGATAATTTAAAATAAAAATTAATATCATATATAACTGGAGAAATTGAGAAAGTAAAGGACTATATGAGAATTGTGAGACTGATGCTTGCTAACTCCAGCTAGACATGATTATGTAAAAATGTTTGCATATAGACTAAATTTGATAACAAAAGAATATTTAAAAATAAAATGGTTGTGCTAGGATGATGGGATTATGGATAATTATTATTTTCTTTTCCAATATTTTTTAACGTAAAAATGCCTAGTAATATGAGATGTAAGCCTACCAGTACATTTTTCAGGAGAAATTAACTCACACTAAGTTAACTCATTTGATTGAACTTTTAAACCAAAGAATCAGACCTTTTTTTTAAAAAACTGAGAATCTTATAAGAGAGTAAAGAACAAAAGCCAATAATCAAAGCTTATCTAAATACTACTGGTGAGAAGCATGTTTGGAAACAAGATACTTAAAACTGCCTATATGTCTTTAAATATTGGTGTTATCGCTTCTTATATCACATTCAGACAAAATATTTCAGAAAAATGTAGAAATGGATAAAACAGCCACTTAAGTCATTACTGGTTGCTTAGAGCACCATTGGTCAAACCAGTAGCTTTCAAATGCCTGCCTAAAACAGAATCAGCTGAGAATGTAAAGGCATGCCTCTTTCAAGATGTGTAGGCCCTAATATTTTAAAAATATCTCAGGTGATGCAGATGTAAAGTTGGGTTTTAGAACCACTGGGCTAGATTCAGCCTCAGCTAACAATCTACTCAAAAATATTGACTGTTGTAGAATTTATCTGGCAACCTCTAAGAGCCTGGTAACAATTCCAGACCCCTATAGGAATGATAATTAAGATGACATCACTTGTTTCCACAGAGCTAGATTTTTTTTTAAAGCATTGGACTATATAGATATATAGATATACAGATATATAGATATAGAGATATATATATGTATTGCAGGTCCCTTGCAGGAAGATTCCTGCCGGTCGCCTGCTTCCCTCCCTTCTCCACAGCCCCACCTGCTTCCCTTCCTTCTCTGCAGGCCCACGGGCTTCTCTCCCTTCTCCCCACCCGCCTGCTTCCCTCACTTCTCCGCAGCTTCGCTCCCTTCTGCAGCACTTGGCTTCTTTCTATGCCATCTTCAGTCTTTGCTTTGGCCTGGATATGCAAATTAACCACCATCTTGGTTGGATTAATTTGCATACTTACCCTGATTGGCTGATGGGTGTGGCTGTCTGGTCTAATTAGCATATTGTTATGGATGAGTCTCAAATGATTTTTCCCAAAGGAAAATGAGGAAATTGGTAAAAAGCCTTAGAGTCCTATCAAAAGCACTCTGGAGCCAATTTGAATAGGTTTGTTGGCCAAAATGAATCAATCTGAGCATCAATAAGAATAGCTACAATAAACAGTAACAAATCAATTTTCAATCCCAAGTTGGGTATCTGCATATGCAGAGGGCCAATTTAAATTAGAGGCAGATTTTCAACTGTACCAGGGTGGGTCCTTCTAAGCATGCCTATCCCCTCAGACCCTTGTTGTTCAAGGGTCAACAGTAACTTTATATCCATGAATTGTTAATAATCCTTAACAAAACAAAACAAAAACCCTCTCTGATAACCTTTTAAGGATGCTAGATGATGCATCCTTAAAGATAGGGTAACAAAGAGTTGATAGTGATATTATTTTATAGACATAGTCTAGGCAATAAATGAAAAAAAAACTTAAGACTATTATCATTCTGCAACCCCTAAGGAATTAATGGAGCTGGGTAATGATCACCAATGATAGTTAATACTGCAGAAAGAGGGGGGAAATAGTACCACCTAACAATACAAGTATATATATCATCATTCATATACTGTTGACAAAATTATCTGATCAAAAATTATCTGATATTAATCTGATCAAGCCTTTACTAATATATATTACTACCACTTTACAGGAAATAAAGGGGACCCAAGAGCATATTAAATGATATCACACAGATGCAATCAACAAAATTCAGACTTTGGAAAATTCTGTAGACAAATAACCAGATTTTTTTTATTTTTTTAAGTGGGGGAGGAAAGAAATTCTGCTTCTGGGTGAGATGCAAAAGCTAACAGGAGATTAGAATTCCCACCCAGAACTAGAAAAGCCATATGCATGCAGAATACAGAAGCCATCTGAAGGGGCTAGGAATCTGAAAATGTTTGAAAAAAGTCTCAAAGAAGTGCTTCTGACCTCCACAGTCTTTTAACCTAGAAACCTTATGCCCATTCTAGGCAAAAAAAGAGGCTTTACACTCATGGAAAGCTGATGCTGGAGGACAGAGAACCCAACAAAGGATTCGGAGGAAACTTAAGAGGACCTCAAGAACACAACTAGAATCCTTAGGATATTTCTCCCAAGAGGGAAAACTACAAAAATGTGAAGTAAATGGTGATATTCTCCCTTCCTTATTCCCCTTCCCACAAAAACAAAAAGTGTTACTTAAGTTGCCAGAATAGTCCATAGGTCCTTATTTATATATTATAGAGGCCCGGTGCATGAAATTATTGCATTTGGAGGTGGGGGGTGGGGTGTAGGGGGTGGGTTTGGGGGGTCCCCTCAGGCCGATCAGTGCCCTCTCAAAGTCCAGGAGCCCTCGGGATATGTCCGACTGATGGCTTAGGACCCCTTGGCTGTTGGGCATCCTTAGCACTGCCTGGGAGGCGGAAGAGACTCTTGCCACCACCACTGCACTCGCCAGCTGTGAGCCCTGCAACTGGCTGAGAGGCACTGACCACCAGGAGGCAGCTCCTGCTTTGAGCGTCTGCCCCCTGGTGGTCAGTGTGCATCATAGCGACCAATCTTTCTGCCGTCCAGTCAATTTGTATATTAGCCTATTAGTCTTTTATTTATAAGCTATACCTGTAATAAAAACATTACACAATAATGTTGCCAAAAAAGTACTTAAAACAAAATTTAAATATATTATAATAATTAATCCAAACACTTATAGAACACTTGTGCCTTTTTCGAGTGAGGGAGGGGACAAAAAAAAAAGTGTAGCTGTATTTTTGTACATTAGTTTTTAAAAACTATAGCAGTGTGCTCACTGCTGTTACCACAGTCATAGTAATTGAAATGTAAAAACACTGCAAGAAATTTATGAAGTTATTTCAAAATGTATGGCTATTAAATATATCAATTTTTATTGTCTACATGAATAAAAATGTTTTATAAAAAAGAAAAAAGTTTAACCCTTCAAACATATCATAGGGTAAAAAAAAGTTCCATTATTTCTTTAGCAAAAAAAAAAAAAAAATCTTACATACCAACTAAAATGGAAGACCAATCTCCTTTTTCACAGATAATCTAATCTTGGGCATGGATTTTAAATTTCATAAAGTTATCTATTCCTTCCAATAGCTTTGTAAGTACAAAAAGGTACAAAGAAATAAAGAAGAAAAAAAAAAAGAAAAATTTCTAAGGATTATTACTATAGGCTTCAGTGATAAGTTAAAACATTTTGATCTATTCAAATCTATTAAAGAAAAGCCTTGCAAAAGCAAAGAATTTGAAAATTTGGCCTAAGCCTGAAGTGTTAAAAGCCAATAAGGCTTTTTGTGAAATGAGGGTTTTGCGTGCGCGCACACACA